TCTTGAGGAGACAACAGGAGATGCAGAACAAGAGGGATGGGAAGTATGTAGATGAGGTAAATGCATCTCAGAACAGCACATAGACTAATAGAGATGGGTTAGTTGTAAGAGCTAATTAGTAACAAGCATAAGCTATCTGCTAAGCATTTATAATTAACATGAAGACTCTGTGTGGTTATTTGGGGAACAGCTGTTGGGGCACACAGAGAAACTCTGCCTGCAAAGAACATAACAAACAAGGGAAACTACTAAATCTGCTAGGCGGTGGTGGCGCAAGCCTTTAATCCAGCACTTGGGAGGCAGAGCAGGTGAATCTCTGTGAGTTTGAGACCAGCCTGGTCTATGAGAGCTAGTTCCAGGACAGCTAGGACTGTTACACAGGGAAACCCTGTCTGGAAAAAAATAAAACATCAAACAAACAAACAAACAAACAAAAAAACCCTAGTAAACCCAACAAGTGGCTTAACAATTTGGATTAATTTGAATGTAAGTGTTCAACTGTAACAGCATTGAAGTATTTAATAGACTTTCTACTTCTATATCTGCTAAGCAACACCTGTGTGCATAGTGCTAACTCCTGACCACCTTACAGTTTAGTTTTATTTTCATGTTTTAAATATTAGCCACACATTTCAAATCAGTGCCTACGATAATTTTAATAGTTATCTCTAACAACCAAACTTCTGGGAAGAATAAAAATTTTCTTTTCAAGGGGGTGAAATATCCAATTCTTTTTTTTTTTTTTTTTACTGTGTAACAGCTACTATATTTTATTATGACATCAAATGTCCATTTTTATAAAGTGCCTTGTAGCATAATGGAAACACATTGGACTTGGAGTCTGACAAACAAAACTTAGTTCTATTCACAAGCTCCATTTCCCTGGACAAAACATTAGTCTGTATAATCCTCAGTTTTTAGATCTCTAACAAGAGAGCGGTGATGTTCACAGAGTTATGGGGACTAGCTGAAAGTGTCCCTAGGAAGAAATCCTATGGCTCATTACATGTTTTACAGACATAAGGCTTTATATTTTTTACACTTACCTATTTTATAAGTCCCCCAAACAGGAACTATTTCAGACACCTATGACACCCATCATTTTACTGATTTCATAGAGCAAAATTTCAACCTTTATTTTTAGTTTCTCTGAAAGTCTTCCATTCTTTCATAGTTCATTCTTTTCTGTTTGTTTGTTGCTTGTTATTGCTTTTTAAGACAGAGTTTTGCTGCATAGCACTGGCTGTTCTGGAGATCACTAGGTAAACCCGGCTGAATTTGAACTCAGAGGATTCGAACTCAGAGGTCTCAGATGCAGAGATCCACCTGCCTCATCCTCCCTAGTGCTGGGATTAAAGGCATGGACTACTACCCCTGACTCAAGGTTCATTCTCAACATCAGTGATTCCTCACAAGACAGTATTACAGACCATTATTAAAACCATCAATACAGTTTGTTGATTTGCATTTCAAAAATAAATCCTATTTAACCGGTATTAATATCATCAATACTACTAGCATTTTCAATATATAATAAAAGGACCTACTAGGGGATTATGTGACTGAAGTCATGCTCTATAATATGAAGTGAACTTAACTGACAAAAATGCTTCCTCTTTTGGGGTGTTCTAATATAGTAAATATGACTAGAGACTTTCTGTGACTAGGACAGAATAAAGGTATGTGTTTAGGTGCTCAGATTTGAATTCCCGTTAGTAGTTGTGTTATCCTAGAGTAACAAGTCTTTCTCTGTCCTACCAGCCAGCTCCCAAATAATGATATGGAGACTTCTTATTAATTATGAAAGCTCAGCTTAGGCTTGCTTCTAACTAGAATTTATAACTTAAACGAACCTATTTCTATTAATTTATATGTTGTCATATGACTCCTAGCTTTAACTTCTCTCCTGCACGTCCTGCTCCACATCTGCCTAGTGACTCCAGTACCCTTCTTCCCAGAGCTCCCTCTGTCCAGAAGTCCTGCCTAAACCTTCTGCCTAGTTATTGGCCATTTTAGGTATTATTTTTTCTAACAGTGTTTCTCTGCGTAGCTTAAAACCTGTCCTGGAACTCATTTTAGCTTTTATCTTACAATACTCTAGGAGAATAAAAACAGAATCTCTTAGATTCAATTTTCTTAATGCTGATTATTTTTGCCTTGTTTTTAAAAAAAATAGGGTCTTGCTATTTGTCTTCAGTCTTACTACATAGTCTAGGCTAGGCTCTCTCTCTCTCAGTTTTCCTGCCTCAAACCCCAACTGCTAAGATCACAGAGTATATTACTGTTCTTGGCCTTCTTAATCTTTGTGATTGACATGTGTCTACCTATTAAGAGTTGTGAATTCTGTCCTGTGTTGTGAATGGTGTATCTGGCACAGTATCTGTGGTGTACTGATACTAGGTTTCTGTTCAACACTGGGTAAGTACACTCCAACACAAACATCTTAGACCTTCCCTCCCTCCCTTCTTGCCCTGAAGATCCCAAGCTTCCTCTGATCCTATTCAATAATGTATACAGGCTGAAAACCATGGTCAGTCACTTCTAATTCATTAACTGCCTCGAGCAGTGGTTCTCAACCTTCCTTCTGCTGTGATCCTTTAATACAATATCTTAAGTTGTGGTGACCCCCAACCATAAAACTATTTCCATTGATTGCTACTTTATAACTGTAATTTTGCTGCTGTTGTGAATCATAAGGTGTATCTGTGTTTTCTGATGGTCTCAGGAGACCCTGTGAAAGAATCGTTTGACCCCCAAGAGTTGGAATTCACAGGTCAAGAACAGCTATCTTAGAGTCAAGGAATCCTTTTCTGTTTGTGTTTTTGAGACAGGGTTTCTCTGTACAGCCATGGGTATCCTGGAACTCATCCTGTAGACCAGGCTGGCCTCAGAGATCCTCCTGTCTCTACTTCCTGAGTGCTGGTATTAAAGGCATATGCCACTATCAACCAGAGAGTCCATGTTATGATGCCTAACAATATTCTGCTATCCTCACAGATTGGTTCCTAGCCCAGAATTCATCAGAGGCCTCATCCAGCAACTGATGGAAAGAGATACAGAGCCCCATAGCCAAACAGTAGGGTGAGCTCAGGGAATCCTGTTGAAGAGAGGGAGGAAGGATTGTAGGAGTCAGTGGCGTCAAGGACATCACAAAGAAAAATCCACAGAATTAACTAACCTGGGCTCATAGGAGCTCACAGAGACTGAACCAACAACCAGGGAGCCTGCATGGGACCGACCTAGGCCCTCTGCATGTTTGACAGTTTTGTACCATGATCTTCTTGTGGAACTCCTATCAGTGGGAGCAGGGGCTGTCTCTGACTCTTTTGCTGGCTTTTGAAATCTATTCCTCATTACTGGGTTGGCTTGCCCAGCTTTAATTCAAGAGGAGGTGCTTAGTCTCATTGCAACTTGATATGCCATGTTTTGTTGATACTCATCAAAGTATCCTTTCCTAAACAGAAATGGAGGAGGAGTGGGTTGTGGGGTTGGGTGTAGGGGGACTATGGGGAAGGGACTGGGAGATGAGGAAGGAGGGGAAACTGCGTTTGGGGTGTTAAATAAATATTAAACCAATAACAACAAAAGAGTCTTAAAGCAGGAATCCTAAGCCTTGGAATTCCTTCAGACCAGACCAGTGTCCTTATTTTGCAAACGAGAAAACTTGAGCCCACAGCATTCAAACATGCCCTATCCCGGCTAAAAAGCCGGTTAGTAAAGCTTGAACTAAAATTTAGGCTCCAGGCTCCTGTACATTCAGCTCTGTCTCCCAGTTCTCTTTAATCTCTTCTCACACTTGCCAGTAACACTCCTCTGTCCTGAGTTGCTGCCAGTTCCGGCTGCCCAGGTTCAGCTGAATCTTCACCATTAATCCTGTTATTTCATCTTTTGTTTTCACTAACACGTAATTTGCACAATTTATTGATGTGTATGTGTGTGTGTGTGGGGGCTGCTTTTGTCTTTATATGTTTTACAAATACAATTTTATTTGCGTCATAAACTGAAATAAATAAAAGCCTTCCAGGTTGGCTAGGAGCGGGGTTGTGGGCCGGGCCCAGCTCAGACCCTTTCTCCATGTCATCTGAAGAGGTCCCTGAGGGAGTTCCAATGAACTCTCAGAGTGTCTCTTAGCAACACAGTTTAGAAGTTCCTACCTAACACTCACACTTTCCAGTTGTTATTCCTGGGAACTCTGAGTTCTCAGCAGAGGTCTAGGTCATTGTTACCATATTAAAAATACAGAAATGCTACACAAAATCCCACAAATATGGTATAGCTTTTTTTAAAAAAAAATGTTTATTCTTGACACTCTTAATTTAGAGAATTGACATTTAGTTCAGTTCAGAAAGTTTATGGCACACATGCATGGTTACGGTTGTGTTGACTTCACATCAGAAGTCTAACTATAAAGCCCTTTACTGTCATTGCCAACTTTCCACCGACCAAAACTATCCTCTTTTCACTGTGGATCTGTAACTCACTAAGTAGACCAGGCTGGCTTCGAACTCAGATCCTCCTCTCCCCAGTCTTCCAAGTACTGGGATCAAAGTCTTGTGTCATCATGTGGTCAAGACCGGTTCTAACATGGCCTGTGCCTGATTCCTCCAGTTCCATCCCCGACATCATCTCGGTCATGTGTCATTAAATAATTGATCCACTTCAGATTTTGAGATAAAAAGATGTAATCTCTGACCTTCAAGCAAGTAAAAGATGAGCAAGAGAGACAGTTCCCTACAGAATCGTGCCCTCCTGTATTCATGTTCTGTTACTGCCAACAGCAGCAGTTAAGGGCCCTCTAAAGAGGCCCGGCAGCCTCTGTTTCCTCCCTTCGAAATATTTTTCTTTTGAAAATTTAAACTTCTATGTAGGAAGTTGGGCTTCCATTGTTGGGGGGGGGGCTGTGTAAAACTATCCCATTGGGCAATGGTTTGTTTTTTTTTTTTTTTTAGCTTAGTAGTTTTTATGTTGGAAAGGGTTGAGGGTGGTGTAAGAGCCAGGAGTAAAGGAAGAGGAGGGAGGAGAATAGTAGTCCTTGAGTTTTTGTGAATGACACCTTTACTGTAAACAATGGGAAGAGAGTCAACCAGATAGCCCAAGGGCAAGCAGTGGAGAAGCAGCAGCTCTGGACCTGCTCAGAGCTCAGACAGAGGGATTGCCACTGGCCCACTGGGCCCTGGCTGCCTGCACTGGCTCCTTCTGGGGCCATCTGTTTTCTTCTTTTTGGTTTGGATCTCCACCCTCCCCCACAGAGGAGTACCTTCCAATGAGAAATGGCAGGAGCTGCAGGTGCAATTGGAGCCAGAGTCCCCAGGACTTGAGGACTCCTGGGAGGCACTGGTCACTTGTGTCGCTGTGCAGTCTTCTTCCTTTTCCTCTTAAAGAAACAGCAGCACTTAGCCTCCTCCACTACCTCCACCTCGGCATGAGCTGTGATTGGTGCATTTGAGTGAGCTCCAGTGGGGTCATCAACATTCAGCTCTCCATTGGTTGAGCTAACCACCTGATTTCGAAGAGGCTGTTGTGATGGCTGATCCCTGTGTGTGTGACTTTCTCGAGTTATTGCAGATGCACCAGAATCTACATGAACTGATCCTACTGGAGTAGGAATAGGCTTTCCAACCCAATCATAGGCATAGTCAAAGGTGTAGCCTTTCCGTTCAAACAGATCTGTGAAGAGGGTCCGTAAATATTCATAATCAGGTTTTTCAAAGAAATCTAACCGCCTGACATACCAAAGGTAGGTTGCCATCTCCCCTGGAAAGGTCTCACAGAGAGCTTCGATGGGAGTATTCCTTTTGGTATCACCAATTTTTTGATATCTCTCTTTTAATGTATCAGCCTTGAGTCCTTGCCAGGGTAAGCTGCCGCGGAGGAAGTACATGAACATATGGCCTAGGGCTTCCAAATCATCTCGCTGGCTTTGCTTTTTGCCGAGATGCGTGTTGATAGACATGTATCGTGCAGTTCCAGTTAAGCTTTTGTGCTCTCTGTAAGGTATGTGTTTTTTGGTTTCAGGATCAATGTATTCCTTGGCCAGTCCAAAATCTATTATGTGTATTACATGTTCTTTCTTATTGCCTTGTCGGCCAATCAAGAAGTTCTCTGGTTTCACATCTCGGTAAATGAGATTCTTTGAGTGTACATACTCCATTCGAGAAAGCAACTGGATGGCTATCATTAACACCATCTTCAAAGTAAACGTTCGGTCACAGAGGTCAAATAAGTCCTCCAAGCTAGGGCCAAGGAGCTCCAGCATCATGGCATTGTACTTCCCACATGGTCCAAAGTAATATACCTGTGGGAGGCCTTCACCTGCACTGCCAAGCTGTTTATAAAACCTGTACTCTAAATGAAGTTGTGGAGCACGTGACTTTATTGGTTCCAGTTTAATGGCTACATATTCATTGGTGTAGAGATTTTTACCTAATCTGAGCTCTCCGAAGTTCCCACACCCTATCTTCTTGCCAACCCTGAAGTTGGGTCCCACCATGAGAACTCCAGAGGATGCTGAGGTGCCAGATGGTCGGGAACAGTGTGTATTCCTTTGTGCCATGGGTTTAGTCGTCCGCTGTCTTTCATCTTTCTCCCTGTTAGAATGGTCCATGGTCCTACACGACAGTCTCTGAACAATGAATGTCCTCAGTGTGTATACTTCTCTTCAACACAGAAGTATGTCCGAATCAACTGCAGTCAGAGAATGAAAATGAGTTTTGGCATCATATTTATGCTTATGTGTACTTCCAGAAGATGAAAAACCACGGCTTAGTTCTTGAAGAACATGTAGTCTGTAGATTTCAAGCATAGGAGGACATTTTGTAACCCTGATTTCGGCCTTGAATGATGCTCCCCCTCCCTCCCCTTTCGGAGCGGTGGGAAACTCCCGGTTTGCATTGACCGAAGTCTCTGCCTCAGAAAGGCAGCCTCCGAGTCTAACCAGCCACCCGCAACTCTTTGCTCGCCAAGGACCCTGGTTCCTCCATCCCGCCCCCGCAACCCGCCACAGACAGGGGCGGGCAATGGGTTTTTGATCCTACTGCACCTATTGGTTTTGTGGGAGCCTAGGCAGTTTGGATCTCACCTTACTAGACCTGGATGGAGGTGGGTGGTCCTTGGACTTCCCACAGGGCAGGGAACCCTGATTGCTCTTTGGGCTGATGAGGGAGGGGGACTTGATTGGGGGAGGGGGAGGGAAAGGGGAGGTGGTGGTGGGGAAGAGACAGAAATCTTTAATTAATTAATAAAGAAATAAATACATTAAAAAAACTATCCCATTTGCCAGGTGATAGTGATGCACACCTTTAATTCTAGCACTTGGGAGGCAGAGACAGGCAGATCTTTGTGAGTTCAAGGCCAGCCTGGTCTGCAAGAGCTAGTTCCAGGACAGCCAGGGCTGTTACACAAAGAAACCCTGTTTCAAAAAAACCAAAAACTAAAACAAACCAAAACAACAAAATAAAGCTGTCCCATAGGTGCTAATGGTGAATATCTTTAATCCCAGCAGAGGCAGAGGCAGGCAGATCTCTGAGTTCAAGTTCAGCCTGGTATACAGAGCAAGTTCCAGGACAGCAAAAGCTACACAGTGAAACCCTCTCTTGAAAGAAATCTAAAAACAAATGGAACAAACAAATAAACAAACATACAATCTGACCCATGGAGAGAAAGAAGCCCAGTTCAACAGCTATCCCTGCTGTGGCCCAGGCATCAGAGTGACCCCACTAGCCAGAACTCCATGTTTATCGCCACAACTCTGTGGCATTTCAAGGTCCCTGCCAGCAAGCAAGCCGCAACAATGTTAAACAACACTCAAAGGCTCCTTAGTCAGGACAGTCTGTTTGAAAGAGTCAGAGTTTGCCCTGGCAGGATGGCCCAGAAAGCCAGAATTTTAAAATTGCGCAGCTTTTTTCTGCTACGGCCAAAACCCGAAAAGCATGCGTTCAGCTTTTCATCCAACACCGTTTAAGTGTTTCATGGCAGGACCCCTTAAAAGAGCTGCAGGGTTTTGCAGCTAAAGCTGAGTCAGAAAGCTTCTCTTAGATGAGAACGCTTGCTTGCCTCTAGCAAGCAGGGGGTAGCCCGAGAAATTGCTGCTACCAAGAAAACATGCTTTACTCTAATCTTTCCCAAGCTTTCTCAGGCTTTCTGTGGATTCAGTTATCCACGTGGGTGCCATTCTGTAACAAAACAGCAGTGAGCTGTCCTGCTATCCAGCTCCCTGCCACCTGGCTAGCTTATACCCCGAAATAACAACACACAAATTGTATTCATTTAGAGACTGCCTGGCCCATTATATCTAGCCTCTTACTGGCTAACTCTCACATCTTGATTAAGCCATTTCTATTAGTGTGTATCGCCACTTGACTGTGGCTTACCAGCATGAGTCTAACCACCATCTGTCTTGAGTAGGAGAAGCATGGTGTCTGCCACACTGCCTTCTTCCTCCCAGAATTCTGTTCTGTCTACCACGCCCATCTAAGGGCTGCCCTATCAAAAGGCCTAGCAACCAATGAAATCAACACATAGAAAGAAGACTTCCTACACCAGGGAGCAGTGTGTGGTTCTGTGTGATTTGGAAAGAACATAACAAAGATATATTATAACCATCATACAAAAGTCTTTTATTACTGTCCTGAGTCATTTCTGCACCCCCTCCCCCTGCCTTGGTGCCACAGCGGGCAGTGGGTAGAACCTAGGCATTCTACCATGCAAGGAAAGTGATTTACTAATGATCTACTAGTTTTAACCTGTAGGCAACAAGATGGAGTGGCTATCTACTGTTATCCTAGACTTCTTTCTCTACCATTCAACAGCACCAATAACTTCCTTTTTCTCTCCTCTTGCTTTCCTGTCTCTATAGAAGAAACCTCCCTCCCTTCTTTTGAGTTCTTTGATGGCTAAAGATGTTGTTTTTGTATTATTGATCAATTGTATTCTCTCCTTTGAAAAGTATTCAGTTACTGTGACCATTTATCAGTTAATTACTTGTTTTCTTTGTATTCAAGGTTTTGAGTACTTTTGTGTATGCTGGATATTAATTTGTTGGAGAAATAATCTGGTAGAGATTTTCTCCTACCCTGTAGGCTCTTTACTCTGGTGATTTTTTTCTTAGATTTACAGAAAAACATTTGATTTTGTTCAATCCTACTTGTCAGTTCTTGATCTTATTTCCTAAGCTATAGGAACCCCATTGAGAAAACTACAGCCCGAGCTTCTGTGAGCTTTCCTACGCTTTCTTCTGGTCCTTTCAATGTTTCAGCCGTACACTAAGGTCTCCAAACCATTTTGATTTGATTTTTCTTTTCAAAAAGGAAGAGGCGAGTATCTTGTTTCAGTGTTCTCTGTAGATGCCCACTTTCCCAGCACCATTTGTTAAAGAATCTCTTTTCTCAAATGGTGCCTTTCTCAAGAATCAGATGGCTGGAGCTGCATGGATTTATTTCTGGGTCTTCCTTTTCAGTTCTGTTAGTCTGCTTTTGTGTTGGTACCATGCTGTTTTTGTTATTGTAGTTTTGTTGGCCTTACTTTCTTTTTTTTTTAAAAAAAAGTTGTATTAGTTCTATGAAGATTTCTTTGGAATTTACATAATCCTTTTAAAAATAAGTATTTTTTGAGATTTATATAATTCTTTTAAATTTTATTTATTTATTACTTTTTGTACAATTTTTTTTTTTTATCAAATACACACCTCTCCCCCAGTTCTCCCAAGAGCCACCTCCCTTCCCCATCCATCCAACTTTGTGTCTTTTTTTTTAAACTTATCAAGATCAAGACCAATTTGTGCTATGTATTTCTGGATATACAGTCTTCTGCTGGAGCATAGCCACTTACTTAGGGACTATACACTCTTTGAGAAAACTGTCTTTTCATCTCCCAGCAGCTGTAGCCAATTGCTACAGTTAGAAGTGGGATTTCATGCCCAGCTCCCCTGTGCTGGGATTTGGTCTGGATGCCCTGCCTTCTAGCAGTGGGGCTACCTGTCTACACATTGGAATTACTAAATCAGATTTCGTTGGTTCTGATTGTAACCCATGTATAAATTTTTTTTTCTTTTTTCTTTTTTTTTTTTTTGGTTTTTCACGACAGGGTTTCTCTGTAGCTTTGGAGACTGTCCTGGATCTTGGAACTAGCTCTTGTAGACTAGACTGGCCTCATAGTCACAGAGATCTGCCCACCTCTGCCTCCAAAGCACTGGGATTAAAGGCATGTGCCACCACCACTGCCCAGTTTCAGGTATTAAAAACTTTTTAAAATTTCTCATGTGATTCCTAGCATGCAGTCATATGGAGAACACTGTCCTAGAGATTTAAACTCACTATTTCTAGGTTAGGACAATGATTACAACTTCACCATGTGATTCTAGAAAACAAATGAGCGTTTCATTGCACATTTTTGTAAATGTCAAGTAAATGCCCCAGGTAGGCATAGAGTGGTTCACAATGCTATCAGCAGGCTCATCTTTGAAGGTGGCTTCAGACTGGCCTCAGTTGAAGGTAGCAGATATCTTTCTCCATGGGATTTCTGCCCGGCTCTTTTCACTGTGCTTTTCCTTGAAACCAGGAGGTCTGGTCTTCATCACTTCTACTTCAGGGAAATGGAGCTGATCTGGATGCTATATGAGTTTTCAATTTTCCTTTTCCTCTAATTTACATTACAACCCTAACCATACTTAGTCTTCAACATTAGTCTACCCACTTTAGGGAAGATTAATGTTTCAAATAAAATGTGTTTGATGTATTGAAAATCTGAATGCCAATCTAGTACATAATATTAATGTTTGAGTGTCAATTTGTAGTGATATTTTATTTGTAATATAACAATAAAGCTTGCTTGAAGATCAGAGAAGCAGAGCAGCCAACCACTAGAGAATTCTTACCTCTACCAATGCTCAGACCCTATACCTGTGAATCCCCAGACTGAATGCCATCTCTACCAAACCTCAGACTGCATCCTAAGACTGCATCCTCAGACTACATCTGAGCTCCTGTCTCCTGCTTTATATTCCTCTCGCTGTCCAGCCATATCACTCCTGTGTCTACCTCCCTAGTGTTAGGATCAATGGTGTGAATCTGTTTCTCTTTGAGACTGGATCACTCTAGTTAGTCCAGAGTGGCCTTGAACTTACAGAGATCCTTCTGCCTCTGTGCTGGGATTAAAGGTGTGGGCCACCACTGCCTGGCCTCTATAGCTAGCTAGTGGCTTAGCTCTGTACTCTGATCTTCAGGCAAGCTTTATTTGTTAGATCACAAACAAAATATCACTACATCAATTTAATTCTCACATAAATAATTGTGGTGGTAAATGAATGATGCTCTGTTCAAAGCACAATAAACACATACTCAAAATAACATATATACACATATTTTTAAGTGAGGGCATATATGGGTATCTTAACACCCACATTATAATATTATATAGCATAACATAATATATATATATATATAAATATAACAAATATAATATAGTGTACCCTTATACACAACTAAGTCTTAGCTATTGTATTAGTTCCTGGAGCCTCCATAGCAAAGTAACAGAGCAACATCTAAAATAACATGTATTTTCCTGCAGTTATAGACAGTCACTGGTTGGTTGAGATCAAAGTATCAGAGTTGCTTTTTTCTGAGTCTCTCTCCCGGGTTTATAGATGACCACCTCAACTCTGTGTCTTCACTGTGGCCTCACACTCAGGATATAGTTGAGAATGACCTGAACTTCTGCAGTCTGCCTCTACTGCTTGAGTCCTGGCA